CACTAACGAAATTGGCCGAACAGGAAGAACAGTTGGACAATATCCATTTAGGACTGAAACGGCTGAGTGGTGAAATGACAAAAGCAGAAGACAATATGAGTCAATTGGAAAAATGTTGTGGTTTATGAGTAAATTCAGATTTTACGTGGTAAAGTAAAATCAGGAAGTCTTATCGATATGACTACGTGTTATGTTTTAGTGTTACAAATTCTACGAACTCTAGTCAAACAGGGTGACATCCCCACTGATGTGACACGGTACCGTAATACCAAAGTCTGTTGAAAAAAATTCTTTTGAGCTCCACTGCACAGTGAGCACCCAAACTTTTTCTAGATTCAAAAAACAGTCATATACTTCAGCTTACGCTCTGTTTAAATAGCACTGGAAGTATTTTCCAGGTGCCATAGTTAGTGAGAAAATTGACGCGAAAGTTTTTGTTGCAAATGTACAAAATGTACGGGCAGCAAAATTCATTCAATAAGCTATTCAGAAAACAAATTTGGACCGATTCTGCGTATGAAAAGTCGATTTTGCCATAATGCTATAAGTGAAAGCCATTCCACAACGAGCTAAAGCTCAATGACCTTCGCTGTTTCTTTGTGAGGGTGACACCAGAGTCAAAGAGTCATAATAAAAAAACTATCATTGTAAAGCCCCAAAGCTAGATGTTCTACGCTTTCTAGAATACCAAGGAAACATTCTTGGCGAATCATATATAAATGTGAAACTACACTTGAATAATTATATTTAGTTAATTTTGCATTTTTGGTTACTCAGACAGTATTCATTTCTGGAAGAATCAAAAGAAGATACCACGGCCGGTTTCGACGAGCTCACCGGGTGGTTTCCTTTGAGAAAGACACGGTTAAGGCAAGACAACTCCATCACGCCGTATGAGGGTATTACTATCCCTTGTTCTTATCGAACAAAGAACGATAACTTTCACACGGTGAGAACGAAGCACGCTGTCACTGTACAATGCACATGTTCTGCTTTTCTATATTAAGTTTTTCTTTTCATTCTATCAGAAATGATTCATTCTCTTAAACTTAAACCGTATCTAGTAACTTCTTCTTCAATCCTTGGCGAAATCTAGAAAACCCCTGGATTTTCCAGATTCCACAAAAAGATTTTTTCTCTGGAAAGGAGGGAACACAATGGGCATGTTTATCATCAAAAAATAGCTCTTATTACTTAAAATAATGAATGATAGCTGGGACACTATTTACAATCAAAACAACGTCTCCAGAATAAAACCTTTTTTTTAGGCATTATTCACGAAAGGGATCCTTCTCCTATAATTCTCATCAAAAACCTATTTAACATTCAAGGCAGCTCAACGTGCTGATCCGTATATAGTTTTACTTTTCATTAGAAATGCTCCAGAACAGCCAAAAATGGCTTTTGCATGAAAAATAACAGATTTTTTGAAAATTTCGGATTCAGGAAGAGGAGCGCATGCACCAGAAATTCGCCGTCGTACACTTTCGCAGTGAACTTTTCCGCAATTGTCGAAAGTCAAGCCTTGGACTAAAAATGACTTTCGAGGAAAACTGAACTTTCGAGAGAATTCCTACTTCGGATACGGCGAAAGTCCGATGAAAACGCAACTTTCGGCAATGCCGAAAGTCTACTGCAAAAGTGTACGATGGCGAAATTCATGGTATCCATGAATTCTCTGTATTCAGATGAGTATTTTGCTATATTCTTGATCAAAACTAGACGTATGGAAACTTTGCCGAAACTTATTGTAGTACTCACACGTTTATGGCAACATTGGCAAGGAAAATGAATTTGTATCCGTGAGACTTCCAAAAGTGACATTTTTTTGCTAATATATCCCAAAGAAATCGCGGTACATGTTATGAGCCCCTTTTACGTCTAGCTATACTGGTACCTTGGCAAAATGAAACATGCTGACTACGTAGTATGTGAGTTTGACCAATGTGTGTGTCCTTGGAATCGAAAATTTCGATTCAAATCTAGTACCCCATATCCTCCCGTTAAGCATTCGAACAATCAGCAGAAAGTAACAACAATGGAACCAGTCGCAAGGACAACCGTACCAACTGTGAGTGGGGGCTATATCACGAAGATAACAAAAGATGCCCGAGAAGATGAAATGGATGACAATCTTCAGCAGGTTCATATGCATTTGGGTGCTCTAAAAAATATGGCTGTCGATATGGGAACGACGCTGGATAGACAAAATGTTAAAATTGAGGAGATTACTGACCAAGCGGAGGACAAAATTGAACGTTTGAAGATCGGGAATAAACGGCTGAACAAAATAGAGAATAATGCATAGACACCGACAGAGATTTTGCTTTGCTGGTTATTCTTTTCTTTACTTTCGCATCTGTAGAAAAAAAGATGGGAAATCACAAATCAATTCCACTTCGAGAAATCCGAGGCTTTCCGGAAAAGTTAAAAAAAGTCGTATGAGATTGCCCGATTGAGAGAGATCTAACATATGGAGTAACCAATGGCTACCTTGCTCTAGCAGAATTCGGTGCAAAAATCATGTTTGGTCCTATATTACTATAGGTGAAAACCATTCCACGACGAGCTACAGCTCGATGACCTTCGCTGTTCCTTTGTGAGAGTGACACCAGAGTCAAAGAGTCATAATTAAATGTCATTAATAAAATCTCGTAGGAGCGGAATAAGTGCTTTGGTACCAAGTGTCGCAACTGGTGCTCGTTTTTACTGTATCGGAGTTTCTGGTCTCTCTTTTTAGACATTCATAACACCTCATTCGGTCAGAGCGGAATCACTCTTGATTGTCATTTAGTTGTTCTGAATAAAACCACTTGATGAGACCTTCGAGACCGGTCATAGCATTTTGGTTTGATTTGTTGAAAATTATCCGGCTAGAGTCTCTGATAAACGCGGTTGTAAATAGGTATGCACGGTATCGGTATCCATACCGAAAGTACCGACTTTTTTTCGATTTGGACGTTTTTAGATTTTTCATTTGAAATGAGATAGTTTGTTTAGCGTCCTGGAGAGCCAAAACACAAAAAACACTCAGCCGTGTATTCCGAGCATGTGTAGATAGAAAATAAAGGAAAACTTTGGATTTCGAAAGCAAACAACGCTCCTGTTTTGTGTCTCTGATTCTTTCTGGGTGTTCAGAACGCTAAACTATCTCATTTCAAAAAGAAAGATCAGAGTGGTGCGGTCAAGGCGTTCAAACACGAATTCGCAGATGGCGCTCTTCCGTGCGAATTGTGCTTCGGTGCAATTAGCCGATACCCCGAGCAAAGTGTAAACATACCAAATCTGCGAAGTGTATTGAGAAGCGAATTGCATTCGGAAACTGTTGAACGTTTTTTTATGTTTCAATAGTTTATATTTTCGAAGTGATCACGAATTGTAGGCAATCTCGCCCTCACCTTCGGAACCAAGAGAATATTTTTTAATGATTATAAGTACAGAATCATACTGAGTTATCGGAAACTGGTCAACTGAGACTTTCGTCACCTATACTTTCGTCGTTGACCAAAGTTTTGTCTGACTCTCGCCAATAACCAAAGTTTTGTTTGAGTTTCGGCAACTGACCAAAGTTTTGCGTGATTTTCGTCAATTGGCCAAAGTTTTGTGTAACTTCCGTCAACTGATCAAATAAGGCTATCACTGATGAGGCTGGGCTGAAGCTGTACTTTTGTCGTGACATACTATCTGTTCCAATATTATGTACTTGTTTCTTTTCTTTCTGGTGCTTATTCTATGTCGTCTCTTGTTGCTATTGTTGTCTATATAAAGTAGATATTGTGTCATTGCCCGCTTTATCTTTTCGTCTCATAGATATCTATATATATCTAAGTGTGCTTTTCATAGTTTCTGCAAATCAAATGTCTTCATGCATTATTAAAATCGAAAAAAAAACGTTACCAGCAACAATTCATGCACTCTCGTTTCTGGTTGGCGATAAAGTGGGCAAGCTAAAAAACGATAGCAACAAAAAATAAACTGTTGATGACAACTTTACGTGGTTCATGTACATTCACATGTTAAGTGGACAGTCGGAACAGATCTTCAAAAAAGTCGAAAAAGGTACTCTTTTCTGGCAAATTTTAGTCAACTCTCGAAGATACAACCACAGTCTCATCAGTGATCGAAGTAAGGTGAATTTTGATCAGCTGACGAAAGTCAGACAAAACTTCGGTCAATGACGAAAGTGTAGGTGACGAAAGTCTCAGTTGACCAGTTTTCGATTCCCCATCACACTGACTGCATAAAATAGAGTATACGTTGACATTTTAAAGTAGTTTAGATGAGTTTCGACCGAGTTATGAACTTTTTAATTTTTTCTAAAAATACTCGAAGATGGATTATTTTACCTAGTATAGGTTTACACTCGGTTTAGGTATGCACCAGTTACAGTTTTTTACCAGTTAACTGTAACTGTGAAAACTGTAACTGTCATAACTGTGTAACTGTTATAACTGTAAAACTGTAACTGTCAATACTGTAACTGTCAAAACTGCAACTGCTCATAACTGTAGACAAATATTCTAGAGTGAATTAGTCTTCTACGATTTGGAGACATTTTAAGAACAGAGACATCCTTAAAATGTATGTAAATCGTAGAAGACTAATTCACTCTAGAATATTTGTCTACAGTTATGAGCCGTTACAGTTTTGACAGTTACAGTTATGACAGTTACAGTTTTACAGTTAACTGTAACTGGTGCATGCCTAACTCGGTTCTTCCATTTTATTTTGAAAACTAACATTGATACGAGATTTAGCATAGTCGATAACCTATGTTGGGAGCTACATCTTTATTTACAATCCCACATCAATTGATTCCAGAGAGATAAAATTCCTATTAGGAAAAAGCTGATCTTTGCTCTGTTACAGTCGTTGGAATTTATGTCCGATGAGATTTCAAAGCATAAAGTCGAGCTAAAGAAAAACTGAAAATGATTGTCGTTAAGTAGAATCGATACAGCCTCTAGTTCGTAACAAATTGATAAAAAAATATAATTTGAAGAGTACTTTCTTTGTAATTTTTACAGCGCCGCCTTGATTAATGAAACAAATGATAGTATCATTAATGTAAAAATTGATATGGTGGAAGAATATTGGACCACAAACCAGATATTGCATCACTTGATTTGTCACATAATATATTCAAGTGTAAATGGAACGAAACAATTTTATTAGAGCAGTTTAACCTAGCTGGTGAGAGAAATACTAGTACCACAAATAAACAAGATCAAGATTTTTTCTGACGAATGTTACGTGTTACTATTAAAAATGTTGAATACATTAGCTATTGTACAAAATGGAAAATATACGTTAAAAGATGGAAAAACAGAAGTATCGGTGAGACAACACTCAATGAAAACAATTTTATATAATCATCAATCTAAACTGATAGACATGTCAGCAGAAACAACTATTCATTTATCGAATCCGTCAACTACCTTACACGTCATTAATGAAGATTGTTGAATGGTATAGACTGATTATGCATCAAAAGATGTAAATCCGGTACTGAATATAGCTAGTGCTGTGATACCCGGTGATGGCGCATGAGAAGAAAATCTTTTTCGATGTTCTTGTTGTTGTATTAGTTTAGATTATCTCCTAGATCATAATCAACCGCAGGTACTACAAAATCATCGTTCAAGGTGTAATACTTACGTTAAAACATTTAGTCTGCCAGTCTATCCAATGGATGACTTAGTGCTATTCATACATCATACCATATTTCGTGATACCGAACTTAATAATTATGAGTATTTAGAACCACCCATAGTTAATCTGACGAGGGAACCTCTCGAGGGGATTAAAAGCTTTGCGACTCAGACTATTTTCATCATGTAGGGAATAGTCAGCAGTGAAAAACTCCAGGTTGGTTTGAGGCCCATGAACCTTTTTGACGGAGATATGAGTGAATTAATGAAAATGCCATTAATAATAATTAATTGATATCTCACAACCATGATCAGCTAGGAGTCGGAAATTTTTACCACAGTTGAAGACAGATGTTGTCTACTCACTGCAACACTTTTAGGCTTATAAACCAAAGCCTTTGCAAGATATGAATTTTTTATGATTTAGACAGTTTTTAGTGAAAATTCACCGTTGAAAACCTAAAAACTTGTTATCATCTTTTAAATACCTGTGTTCACGCTAAAAAATTTAAAATTTGTCTGCTATAGCCGACGTCAATAATCATGATTCTCGTGTTTTATCGGCACTGGGTTGTGGTGCATTCCTAAAATTTTAAGGATTTCTATTTCAAATGAAAAGCTAGTAGGTTCGGAAAAATAAAAGGAGTTTTTAGGCATTAGCTGGCTGTAACCGCATAAAGGTTCCCAGTTTGTAGAGGATACTTCGGGGTATATGACCTGAAGTTTTCGCGGCTTATTGACATTATTCGGCTGAGAAAAAAATTGATTACTTTAAAAAATATTGTGAAATTTTTGACCAATGGACTATTATTAAAAGAATTCCTGTCCATTCTCCATTCATCATAAAAACCTGGTTATTGTCTAGATCGATAGAGAAATATGTGGAGAATATTTACTACGAGAAAATCTGTAAAAATGAAAAAACGAAAAAATCTGTTTTTGTTCTTTCCTTCCTGTTATTGGCTAATTAGCACTAAGTAACGTTAATTTAGCCTGCTCTGCTAGCTCACAGTCCCATTTGCAAAATAAGGACTCAACAAAAGAATTTAAGCCATACCTCACCTGACAGAGAATTTCATGAGCTACAAGAATGGCTAGCTTAAGAGTTTTAGAATCCAATTCATTCATTAGAATTTTTTTATAACAGTCCCGTACTCCAAACTTTAACAATATTGTTTAAGTAATTAGCCACCCTCACCCCCCAAACAATGTCCGTAAGCCGAAAAAACTTCAGAATATGTACTTCGAAGTGTCCTCCACAAACTGGAAAAATTTAACAAAACAATTCAAGACTAAAAAATTTCTGTAATTTTTAGCTAAGTGAAAATATTTACACAACAGATTGAACCAAATTTCGCTCAAAGGAAGCATTTTCAAGAGAAAGTGTGGGTACGAAAGTTGTTCAGAATCAGATTCCCTGGAATATGAACGAAGGATTTTTCAAAATTCGTTAAACCGGACTTCTAAACTAAATTTTACTAAATTTTAAAAACCGTATTTTTCAATTTAAAAATCGAGTTTAACGAATTTTGAAAAATCCTTCTTTCATATTCCAGGGAATCTGATTCTGAACAACTTTCGTAGCCGCACTTCTCCTTAAAAATGCTTCCTTCGTGCGAAATTTGGTTCAAGGTGTTTTTAAAAATACTTCTTGCTCCAAAATGCCATCGGGCAGGTCAAAGCGGAATAACTCAGTCAAAGCTTTACCGAACTTTTTGTAGATACATCTTGATGTCCTCTGTCGATTGACATCAAAACCGAGGTTATATATAGAAATCTGAAAATTTTATTAAAGTTTTAAAAATGGACCAAAAACCGAGACTAAAGTTAAAAAACTACAGGTCCGGTACCCGAAAAAAGTATTGAAATATATACTTCAAAGTGTCCCCTGCAAATTGATGGGAAAAACCGACTGGGGGACCCCCGTTTCCCTTAAGATTAAAAAATGAATTCAGCTAACTGGTATCGCATACGAATAACATAGTGACACTTTTCCTTGTAGAACTATTGCCACGCATACTTGTTGTAAAAATTTATGAACAAAATCGCCACCAAATGCCCCGCATCCCCCTCAGAAAAAGAAGGAAACATGAGATGATACTTGTAGCATTCTAAAACTTACAATTTCCTGTTATCATTTTTCCTGTTTGACTTGAAAATGCTCGATAAGCTTTCCCAAGATCTTGTTTTATCATATCCCGACTAAATTGTTCTTCAAAACATGCATCCATTACTAGAATATCGTGACAATTAGAAGAATTATATATTCCTTTGAATCGAAAACTTGAACCGTAACCATAGCACCGCGGATAACAACAACTTCATTATCCATCAATGTTTCGCATACCAATATGGATAAAAATGCTTCTGGACAACAATTAAATAAAATTTCTTCTTGTGTGCACGATGGTACAATACAATGAATATGTATATCGTTATTGGCAAAATCAACAAAAGCATGAGCATCTTGTGCGTTTTCTATTCGGTCGGTAAATACATTCACTATCGATGAGTGAATGACCATATTTTGAGTTGACCAATCGGGAATGGTGACATTAGCATCATATCGCTCTATCGTAACCTTTCGTTCGTCTGATTGTTCTTCAATTGATTGATGAAAATAAGATAGTAAACACAAGAGGCGTTCTTGACCAGTACGATTTACTTTTTCATATGAATCAATTAAATCAACATTTCCATATCCAAGTGTTTCATAGCCACTATTTGACACTGTTCGTCGAGTTTGAGTCGATGTTGTATTAAGAAAAAATGCAATGCTAAAATGTGACGTGCTTGTGAAATGGTATAAGTTATTTTCTCTGGTATACCAGCTTGAAGTGGTTGAACACGTTTTGATTGATCATTATCAGTAGCCCATTTGGCAAGTTGTGGTATTACATCAGTATAAAAATTAAACCTTTCAGATGATGATGATGATTGTGAAACATGTTCGTTGTAAGTTTCGATTGCTTTTTTTAAATTTAAAAACGAATAACCTTCACGGACATCTTTGACTAATGTATGACGTTGACGCGTCAAAATATTTTTTAATACATCATAGTTAACTGTTTCTGGAAGAGAACTAGTTCCAGCTGAGTTAATGAATGTTGTAGTATCGACTACGGTATTCATAATCTTAAAATAAAATAAAACATCAAACAGACGTTGTTTTAACACGCAAAAGAGATCTTACTCAATCATATGAGTGATTAAAGAAGCAAACATTGTTTCACGTGATAATGAAACCTACAGTCCGACCGCATATTTTTTCTTTCAAAACGGGCATGCCTGCTGATGTATTTGCGTGAACCTCTGTTGGTTTAACTTGAAGCAATGATTCCTTCTTAATTAAGTAAAGGTTGCAATATCTAGAGTTCGCTTTGAATGATCGTTTGGACTGCAAAAAAAGTATAAAAGCAAAATCAGAACGAGAGTAAGAGTTTACTAAACTACTACTAATACATATTTCTACAGCATTTATACTTGCAAATACCTTTAATTTCATGACCACATAATACTAGAACAGAACCTGTTCCGTCCGCATATTCGTATCTTCTTGGTAAGTTCAAACTGCGACATTACTTCCTTCATTTAGAATGAGATAAACGAGATAGAAAAATATTAAAGTTTTTCGCATAGGATAGAAAAATATTTAAATAAAGAAAACTATTGAATGGACTAATATTTAAATAAGGCAGAAAAAGATTTAATTGATTTTTAATATTAGTCGTTTAATATGTTTCTTTTTAACATTAGTCTATAGATCCACGTTTGTAGGGGGTCTCGTATTAATTTTGGTGGCGCAGAAGTTACAACACAGGACGGGCGAAAATGATTTGTAGTTTTAATATAATACAGAATCGAGTTAAAAATTATTTTTATTTTGTCTTTATCTAATTTCACCACATATTTGTCACTCAGTCAGTATTAGTTGATTTTTGTTACGGATGGCTAATCCTAGTGGGACTTCTTGTAACCAAGATCTTGACGTCCTGAATTTTTTCAGTGAGATCTTGGTAAGAAAATATAAGAATTCAAGAAATTTCAAGAAGTTAAGATCTTGAAGATCTTGTAATTTTCTGACTTCTTGTACAAAGACCTTGAAAATTCTTGAGTCATCATTTTATTTTACACTCTTGTATAAATATAAATGCGAATTATAAATGCGACTTTTATAAAATCCTCAGCGATTTTCTGACTGTTTAGAAAATGTTGATTTTCTACTTTTTAGAAAATCCGCTCCATTTTTTATAAATTGACTTTTCTCATTTGCCAGAAAATCGAGATGGATTTTCTATAATAATTCTTAACAATGTAGAAATTCAATGTCAGTTTTCTACATTATTAAAAATTCGATTTTCTATAATCTGGAAGATCCGTGAAGATTTTATATATGGACTTTTTGAAAATCGCCGAGCATTTTCTATAAATAATTCTCGACTTTACAGTGTATATGGTGGTATGGCCGATGGTCATGACTGTCATAAATAAAAACATAAAATTTAAAGAAAATTTTTCACCCAAGCTCTTGCAACACCTTGAGATTCACTCAAGATTTTGAGTGAAAGATTCAAGAATTGAAGATTTTAAAACATCTTGTCTTACTCCAGTCAAGATCTTAGCCAAGACCTTGGGAACAGAAGTTTCAAGAGCTTGAGTGGAGTAAGACAAGATGTTTCAAAATCTTTAGTGAAAGTCTCAAGAATCTAGGATCCTGACTTCTTTGTGGTTTTTTCCAAGATCTTGTAATATATCTTAACCTAAGATCTTGGCTAGAAGAAGTTTCACAAGTGGAATTTGAAAATGGCGATATGTTTTCATTACCCAATATTGTAACATATCACCGGAAAAAAAATAAAGTTGGTTTAGAGTTGCTGAAAAGTGGTTTTTCGTATTCAGCACATTCGATAACCCAGAAGGTTTTCTGTTTTTGGCCCGAGGTACTTCCGAAAGTTTAGGAAAAGTTTTCAAATTAATATTATTTTTCCATGGAAAACTTTTTGCGCCATTTTGTTTCAAAATTTTTCTTAAACTTTCGGAAGTACCC